CCCAGGAGAGAACACTCTGCTTCAGCAGCCATTTGGACCAATGGAAAGGTAGGTCCCTTACGAGTCTAACTGGAAGCATTCAGTCCCCCAGTCATACCTGGGTCAAGTGCAAGAGACTACAAAGCAAAGGGCAAGACTTGGTGTACAATAGTTGATGAATGAATTGATTAAATGTAGTTTGGCAGCTTTCTCTGTGCCAGGCACTGGGCTAGGGAGACAGATAAGATGAGAAAGTCAGAATCTGCTCTGCAGGCTTCCCAGCCTAGGGGGAAGACAGAGTGGACCCAAGCGAGCTCTGGCTACCACAGCCAGCTTAGGCACAGACAGGAGTGGGCGAGACAGCTTGGTTGCCTTTGGCCTCTCCTCCATGGTCCCCAAGGGGAAAGAGGTCCTAAGGATGAGAAGAACCTCTGTGCAAGGTTGCAGTGGCTCCAGAGAGCACAAGGAGGACAAAGATCAGGGAGGCTGAGCTGGTTGCACAGTCATTGCATATGTGTGAGGAGGTGGAGAGTGGCTGGAGTGGGGGTGAAGATGGGAGTGGGACCTCCCAGGCCTCTGCCATCTTTGCTGAGGGAGAGTGAGATCTGGTAAGAGGCGCTCTGTTACTGCCTCTGGCCTCACTTGGCTGCTTTGGTTGCTGGAGAGAGGGCAAATGTTGTTTGCATTTCTGTCATTTAAAACAATGTGGTGTTGTGACACTCTGGAATCTGAAGATAAATGTTTAATAAAAGGATTCAATTTGATATGATGTCGGAACTTAATTAGATCCACAATGCACAGAGGGCTAGGCAAGCCCTTCAATTAGAAGCTACTTAAGGGTCTTGTGTGTGGGGATTGGCAGTGCCTGCAAGGGGCTGTGGGGGCTGGGATGGAGCACCCTAGCCTACAGGCCTGCCCTCTGCAGATTCTGGCTCAAGGGCACTGCTTTTGGGAAGTTCCGGCAGTGGGGATAGAGGGTCTTGGCCTGTTCTGTGCTTGCAAATTTGCATTTGCTAGCAATGGGGCTACAGCATGTGACCGGAGGATGATGCAAAGGAATCTGACCTATTTGAGGCTCAAGACCATGACCCCAGGTCAGACGAAGACTACTCAGAGGCCAACCTTGGACAGGAGGACTATCTTTAAGTCCATTTGGCTCTGAATCCTGGACCACTGAGGGTCAAGGCTGCTAGAAACTGGTAAATAACCATGCTGTTGATCCCAGCCAGAAGCCATTCTGCAGATACATCACAGTATGGGTACAATGACAAATACGGGTTGATAATAAAGTGCCTCTTATCTAAGCACCCTCACACTCCTCCGCTCCCTGCTGCTCTGGCCAATCTAGCTCCTCCTCAGGTATCTCTTAGATGTCCCCAGTAGCTGAAGAACTGGAGCCTGTTGAGCTGGGTGGCCCTGGCGGGGAGGGGCGGGGGGAGCAGGGGATGCAGTTTCAGGACCACGGTCAGCACCCAACACTCTGGAAATGGATTGGAGCAGGCCTCAATAGTTGTGAAATCTGTTGACTCTCCCCCCAATTCTGGCTTGTAAAAATGACAGCAGTCTGGGTGGCGGGAGAATCCAGAGTTAGAGCACAAGCTTTGGAGTCAGACGCCCTGAATTTAGAAGTCTCAGATCTGCCTGCTCCAAACTGTGTTAATAATTACTCTGGCCTCCTCTCTAAGTGGGTTAATAACACCCACATCAAAACGTTGTTGTAAAGACTAAAGAACATAAACAATGTGGGTGATTTCATGCTGTAATGGTTAGCACTTTAGGCTCAGACACCAGCAATCAGAGTTCAAGTACCAAATGGACGTCTGTCACGGGCAGAGTACAGGCTGGGTGGGGGAACAGCACTTGCTATGCTCTGTTTTGCTGGGTTGAGTGTAACTTGTGAAAAGCTTGCAGAGGGAAGAGATCACACCTGCTGATAGAAATAAGGTTGGGGTTTTTCTGTGGTTTGCAATGGTCCATCTGCCCATTTCCAGCTATAATCTGGTACTGGCAGTGCTGACCCTTGGCCTGGGCTTGCTGCACAAGGAGGAAGATGTTTTGGAGTCTGGAGGCAGAACCAGTTTCTCTTTTCTCAGCTTTTCTTGAGCAGTGCCAGATGGAGGGACAAAGGCCTCTGTCACCAGGCACTGTGACTCAGTTTACTTCCTGTCTTCTTGCCTTTGGATCAGGGGATGAGTGTCTTGTTTACAATGTATCCACTTCCCCTACCCAGGGTTTTGGCTTAACCCAGTTGCTTAGTAAACCGTCTGGGAAACCAATGGATTGGCTGAATACAACTACAGATAGGGCTATATCTGATTGGTCAAGAGAGAAGGTGTGTGCACAAGCTTGGCAGTGATTGGCTGGACTCTCACACAGAGCAGACTGGTGAGCTAACTGCGTGAATTGCTTCCCTTGTGTGTTGTCTTGCCTCTCTCATTGGTGCCATGTCTTTAGCGCCCTACCATTTTTGGTCTGCAATGACAGATACATTCAACTACCACTGTTTCCTGTTCACTCTGCTCCAGGCACAGTGACTTCCTAGCTTTCCCTTCAGCACATGAACTAGGCTTCTCCCTCAGGGCCTTTGCACCTGTGTCCCCCCTTGCCTTGCATCCACAAAGCTGTCTCCCTCGCTTCAGTCAGGTCTTTGATTTAAAAAAAAAAAATCACCTGATCATTGCCCTCCATTCCCTTCACTGGGTTTATTTTCTTCTTACCACTCACCCATGGATGTGTCTGCTCCCTGCTCTGCTGCCCCATTAACATGGAAGGCTCACAGGGCAAGACTTTGCTGTCCCCAGTGTGCCCACGGGCAGTGCTGGGACATATTTATGGACACTTTCCAAAGAAATAACATAGTCACATTAGTTAAAACAAGGGAGTTCACAGTACCACACTGTGAGATAGGAAGACGTGTTTGTGCCCTGCATGTGCTGCAGGTGGAACCTCCAACCCGCCATCCCATTTTTCAAACCCAGAACTCCAAAAAATGAAATTGTTTGCCTCAAAGTCTCTCAGCTAAGCAACTCAGGTCACCAGACTCCAAATCTGGTGTCCCCTGAGTGACAATGTCTTCAGTTACTTAATCACTTGCTAACTTGTTTTCCCCACCAGAGGTAAGGAGCTAAGAATGGGATTCTGGGCCTAGGATCAGATGAAGGTCAAATGGATTGATTTGGTTAATTGCTAAGAGAAGGGTCTGGAGCATACAAAGAACTCTGTAAATATTGGCCACTGTTGACTCATTTCATTATCGAGCTATGATTGGAGCACCCTTGTTAGAATCCCATCCTTGAATTTCAGATGCTTTTTTCATGCAGTTGCACTTTAGGGAAGACTTATGTTAAATGTCTATCTCTTACTATTAAGACTTATCCTGGGGAGGCTGTGTCATATGTTCTGCCTCCCCTTGGACAGCCTAAGACCCCGGAGTCTAGAAAGGGTATTTTTGGTTTTTTGTTTGTTCGTTTTTGATGGGACTGGAGTTTGATTCAGGGCTTTACGCTTGCAAGGCAGACGCTCTACCACTTGAGCCTCCAGTCCTAGAAAGGTTATTGCTAATGGAGGCCTAGACAAAGCTTTGTTGTATGTCCCTTCTTTCTCATTTAGGTCTGCAATCCATTCAGAATTGATTTTTTTTTCTGTATGGTGTGAGACAGGGATTGAGATACATTTTGTTCCCCACTTGGATATCCACTTGGCCGACATCATTTTGTCCTTTGTTTGGTACAGAAGTCTCTCTCCGCCCTGACTGTCCTGTCCTTTTTCGTGACTCACTCCTCTCTCCCAGTTTCCCATGTCCCTCATAACGTCTTTCCTGACTAATTCATTATTCATTTCTTCCATCATGATTTCTTGATTTTCTAGTTTGTCAGGCACCTTGCTAGGCACTGGGGAGAATGGTGAGTGAATTGGAGATCATCCTTGCCCTCACAAAGTACACAGGCTTGGCGGGGGGGACCCAGACATTGGCCAGGTATGGTGCATGTGGTGGGTCTGAGGAAGGAGAAGTCTGCAACTCCTGGGGGTGTAAGACAATGTAACCTAGTCTGGGTGCTAATGAAGCCCTCCCTGAGGAATCCATGTTGAGGCAGACCTTTGGGAATGACAAGGAACTTGCTAAATACAGACACAGGGCTGTGAGATTGCTGTTTCTCCATCTTCCAGTCTGTTAGAGCACTGAGATATTTAGTACTCTTTCTTCATGCTTTTGTATTGTGTCTTCCCATCTGGATGGATGTTCCTGGGGGACTGGGAACAAATGCTAGTTTTTTAAAACTCCGTGTCACAGCCTAGTATAGGGCTGGAAGCAGGGTGGATGCTCTAGGTTTGTTGGTGGATGGAGTAGAATTGTTGTATCAGTCTATTTTTAGGTCAGGCTGGAAATGCTGCAACCTGGCCATTTGCTCAGAGGATGGGTCTGGAGGAGGAAAGTTACCTCAAGGTACTTCGGGAAGAAGACAGACCTGGTGTGACCTTGGCTTTGCCACATAACAGCTAGTTCACACTGAACTGGTTCCGCAGACTCTGTTTCCTCATGTGAAAAGGAAGTACAATCGTATCTACTTCGTGGGCAAGTATGCAGATAAAAGGAAGAAATCACATAAAATCCCTGACCCTGGCAACTAGTATGTTTTCTTTTCCCTTCAGAAATTCGAAACGTCTGGTGGGACAGCTGTGGACTTTAGAGTAAGACAGTCCAAAGTTGAACTCTGACACCATCGCCTCCAGCCTTCATTTCTTCGGGCGCTTGCTCACCTGCAGAGTGGGCCGATAGCTCCTGCTTTTGAGGATTTCTGGGAAGATTCATCGAGACAATTTATGCTGAGCACCTGTCACATTCTAGGAACTGGTAACTGTTAGTCATCAATCTAAACCCGACATATTTCAGCTGCTTGCCAAGAGTGTAGACAAGGCTGGCCGTGGCTACCTGGCCTTCGGACCTGATCAGTACACATGTGGTGGTGAGCCAGAGCGGGGGACAGGTAGCGAGTGAGTTGAGAGATGTGTGCTGGGGATACCTGGTGGTTTCTGGATGGGTTCCAGGACTGTGGGCCCAGGACATTTCCAGCCTCTCTCCTGTGACTTTGCCCTCTGAGTCTTGGTGGGACCGAGCTCCCGTTTCTTTCTGAGGCACTTCTGCCATATGGCCATATCTTCAGCTGGACTGGAACTGGGTGAAGCCCAGAGGAAAGCAGCCAAGTGTGCCTGCGGGGGCCTCCGAGACAGCTGCTCCTCTGTCAGCCTGGCTGGAAGGGCTGCCCCGATTGCCATGTCCTCTCCTCACTGCCCTCACAAGTGACTGGCTCTCCCCCTTCCTGGGAAGACAGGTGGCACCAAGTGCCTACTCTTCCCCCGCCCCTTCTATCACCTTCCTCCTGGCCATGAGGGCTTTACCATTCCTCGTCCTGGCACCAGAAAGAACAGAACAGACACAATCAGCACAAGTTGTTGGTCCTGGCGGTGGCTCCTCTCCCTGGTCTGTCCTCCCCCTTGGAAAGGAAGGAGAGGACTAGCCGATGGGGTAACAACTGAGAGGAAGGGCAGGAAGTAGATTCATAGTGATGCCTACTATGTGCCTTGCTCTGTCTATACAAGACCTTTGAAAATCCTCTGAGGCCAGGGTCATTGTCCCCATTCGGTTGAGGAAAACGAGGCCCAGAAAAGTGAAGGGGTTGCCCCAGGTCACACAATGACAGAGGCAGGACTTGAACTCGTGGCTGCCAGGCCCCCAGTTCTAGGCTCCTTCTACCATACTTGAGTTCCTCCACCCTGAACAGTACAGGGACATGCCAAATGAAGACCATCCTCATGGCACTGCGAGGTGACAGGCTTTTGTTTGTTTGTTTGTTTGTTTTAATTCTGGTGCTGAAAATGTAAAAACTTCAGTAGGTGCAAATTTCTTATGCTTATGCTTACACTATTATAAAATATAAACAAAATTGCCCTGGAGATTCAGAGTGGTCACACTACTGGAATTCAAATGAACAGCAATGACTGAACCCAATGGATGATGCTGTTCCCTGGAAGCTCTTTGGAACTCACTGTGACTTGGCCAAGATGTGCCAAGTGTTGTCTCAGTTTCTTCCTTTCTTTTGCAGTACTGGGATTTGAACTCAGGGCCTCATGCTTGCTAGGCAGGCGCTCCATTACCTGAGTTATGCCCCCAGCCCTTTCTGCTTTCATTATTTTTCAAATCAGGTCTTGGGCTTTTGTCTGGGCCAGCATGGGCTCAGGAGATGGGCTACATCTCCTGAGTAGCTAGGATGACAGGTATGGGCCACCACACTCAGATTGTTGATCAAGATGGGGTTGTATTAACTTTTTCCCCCAGGATGGCTTTGAACTGTGATCTCCTGATCTCTGCCTCCTGAGTAGCTGGGATTGCAGGTGCAATGTACTTTGCTCAGCTTGATTCTGTTTCTTGACCAATGTTTTCTGTTCAAGATATCGCTAGACGCTCATGCATGAAGGTCATCTCATAGGCATTTGCTGACATTTGCTCCTGTTTTCTCTTGAGCTGGTGACAACCCTGAGGCACACTTCCTGCCCAAGGATGCTGCTTTTGTGATTTAAAATCACTGTCTCAATTCTTCAAAGAAGTGGGAGCGGTATTCTCTGAGTCTGCCTTTCCCTCTGCACACACTGCAGCGAGAGCATTCAGTCTTTCCAAGGAAGAAGATTTCATTCTGAGGGCTGATCATTGTCACTTGGAAGCTGGTTACATGCACCACTCTCGAGCATCTGGACATGTTAGAAGTCACATGCTGTCACCTGGGGTCACCGGTTTGTGTAAACACAAAGTTCAGCCCTGAGACGGCACTGCCTCTAAGATCCTTATAAACCAGCGACACTTAAGTAGATTTGAAAAGATTAGCATCAGCACAGGAACACGGACAGTGAGTTGCCGGACTGCAGGCTCTGGGGAGGGCTCACAGATGGACGTCTGTGTCTTGTGCGACTTTGCTCAGGTGAAAGCGGAACAGGCTAGAAGAAGCGAGTAATTGGTCACTCACCTTTCAGTACAAATCTTCCAAATCTGTTTGCAGAGGGAAAGTGGCTCTGAGAAGCATTCCTTTACTGGCACGAGAACTTAAAGCAGGTCGTCCTCTGGGATGCCACCGAACAGCTCTCAGTGGCACACCCTGACAGCAGAATTCATGCTCCACAGTGAAGCTTGCAGCAGGGAGAGGATTATGTTCACGTGGATACATTTGGAGGGAAGGGATTCTTATGGTTTCCTCCTAATAAATAATCACCACGTACAAACCGCTCCTGGCCCCTTCTGCCAGTTTACTATTTCTTTGGAGTTTTTAAGAGCACAGACTTAGGAAGACAGGTCCCCAGATCAAATCCTAGTAATAACACTTACTGGCTGTGTGGCCTCGGGCAATTTACTTAGCCTGTCTGTACAGCCTCTTTTTGCTTATCTGTAAAGCAGCATTGGTGGTAATGTGTGACTACACAGTGGGTTTCTGATGGAGCTCACAGGAGAAATGCATATTAAATGGGTTGTGCACAGCCTAGATCACTGATTGCCTTTGCCTTGCTCACCAGGTCCTCTGTTGCACCTGGCTTGAGGCCAGCAGGAGCCCAGGGAAGAAGGTGGACTCACTAGTCCAGCCCCTCTGAGGCTGAGTGTGTACCTTCCTTCCTTTCATCCTTCCTTCCTTCCTTTTCTTCCCTCCTTCCCTCCTTCCCTCCCTCTCTTTTTGTTTTGTTTTTTGAGATGGGGCCTAGCTTTATGCTGAGGCCAGCCTGCTCTACAGTCGTCCTATCTGTGCTTCTCCGTGGAGCTGGGATGATAGGTGCACATCACCATGACCAGCTATTGGTTGAGATGGGCTCTTGTCAACTTTTTGCCCAGGTTGTCCTTGAACCATGATCCTCCTGATCTCTGCTTCCAGAGTAGCTGGATTACAGGTGTAAGCCACCATGCCTGGCAGTAAATATTTCTTGAATAGAGCTGAATTAAAAAGACAACTGGCACTTCAGGTGTTTCAGACAAACTTGCAGGTTTGCACAGCAGGCCACAGTGTGTGAGAATGGCTCGATTTGCAAACCATGTTAAGCACACACCCTGGTTTTGTGTTTGCCAACGACAACAACAATTAGACAGCAGGTGACATTTACTGAGAGCTCCCAGTCTACTGCTAGCTCTCATTGTGGCATTCTCATTAACTCTCCACACACAATGGCAAAGTCTGCACTACTCTCATCCCTGTTTGCAGACCAGGAGTCTGAAGCACAGAGAGGTAAAGTGACCTGCCCAAGGTTGCTCAGCTAGTCACTGGTGGGGCAGGATTCAGAACTGGCCAGTTGGCTTAACCAACACTTCCAGAGCCCCATTGATGTGCTGGGCTTGCAATGGAGTGGCACAAATGAAATGAGCAGTGTGCATCGGGTCTTCAGGAGGGCCGGGTGGCTGAGCCCCACCCCAAAAGTGTCTGATTCAGTGGGTTTGGGGTGATGCCAGAGCAGGTGCCTAGCGGGTTTTCCTGGGGGCCTGGTTTAATGGATCTTACCTTCTTCCACTTAGAACAGGAAGATAGCTCAGCCATGTGTGTGGGCACACACCACTTACAGGAGGGAGAAGGAGCCAAAACACAGCCAGTGCCAACCGAGGTTTGGTTGTGGAACTCAGGTTCACGGGAAGAGTGGACAGTTTTTCAGGCATCTGTTCTTTGCCATCCTGGCTCTGACACTAACCTACAAGTCCCCTTCCTCACCCAGTCTTCAGACAGATGTGGCAATTCACATTGCTGTCCTCTTTGGAGACACTTTTGAAGTGTTAGCAGGCCGGTCAGGGACACTCAGCCAGATGCCCACATAAAACCACAGCTGTGCCCCTGCTGGCAGGGGGTGGGGGTCCTCCGGCGTGAGACTCCATTGCCCTGGACTCAGCCCTCTCTGGGAAGTGAGGTGGCAGGAACTCCACCTCCCAGCATTCAGCAGGAAGACTGAGTGCTTAGGTAGGATGTTGTGCCCTAGCTAGGCACTGCCCTCAGCAATGTTGCTCACTGGTAATTAACGTGGACCAGGTGTGGTGCAAATCACAGAAAGGGACTGGCCTGAGAGGCTGGGAATTGCTTAAAAACCAGTGCTAGAGTTATCAATGGTAATAGCTAGTATCATTTATTGAGACATTGGCAGGCCAGTCATTGTGCAAAATGTCCTACTGAAAAATGTCACTGACTTCTTTCTCTTGGTCATCCCATCATTATCTTTGCTGTTGAATGAGGAGACGGAGGCTTTACCCAGTTAAGACCAGTAATGCTCTGTGTGACCTTGGGCAAGTTGCCTGACCTCTCTGGGCCTCCAATATGGGTTTGGTCTCAAAATCCTCTGAGGGCCTTTCTGCTCAGATTCCGATGAAGAAACACATAAGTCCTCAGGGCTGTGGGGCTTCCTAGCATGGGGAACGTCTCATCCTTGACCTTTAGCTGTCAAGGGACCTTGGCTCCCTGGAATTCATGATTTAGAATTCTATACACTTCAAGAATTATTCCCAAGTCACTTAGCACCTATAAACGTGGGGAGTCTGTGTGGTAGGCAGAAGGGAAGCCAGGCCTGGGCTTCTCACAGCCCCTCAGCCAGTTCCTGGTGATAGCCAACTCGCTATCCTGACTGTGCCAGGTGCCACACATTGTGCCCATCATGAGGAAACAGGACCAGAGACGTCAGGCTGCTGACCCACAGCTGCCCAGAAAAGGGTCAGAGCCCGGATCTACTAGTGGAGGCCATCCTGAACTGCCTCTCCTGCGCCTCTTCCCCCTTCTGGGTCTCAGTTTCCCCTTCATTTTGCTGGCCCCATTCTGATCCTGCTGCCTGTGTCCTGGACACAGTGTAAAGAACGGCTTTGAGGTGGCTAAGAAGCAGCTCAGAGCCTCCACCCCAGAGACCAATTCTGCTGTTCTGGGGTGACACAGCACTTGAGTAAGTGACCCTTGGGGTCCCTCCAGATGTGAGGCATTTGAAGTTAGGGTCCAGAATGTGCTAAACAGGGTCTCAACCAGGCTTTGCACCAACCCAGGCATGGGCAGTGGCACATTTTTGACATTTCAACAATTAAACTCAGGTTAAATTTTTTTTTTTTTTTGGCAGCACTGAGGTTTGAACTCAGGGCCTCCTGTTTGCTAGGCAGGTACTCTACCACTTGAGCCACTCCATCAGCCTTTGTTGGCATTGGGTATTTTGAAGATAAGGTTTTGTGAACTATTTGCTTGGGGCTGGTTTGAACCACAATCCTCTGCCTCCTAGGTAGCTAGGATTAC